CTTAAGACTCAGTCTTTTAGCTCAAAGTTCAATTGGCTTTTGGATGCCCTTAGGTCCAACTGCCCTTTTACATGGAATTTTTATTGTTAATCTTCTATTATTGGGGGAATTATTTTGCAAACAGACCAATTCAATCGCTTCAAGCTCTGAAACCTGTCAGGCTAGCTTTTATTCTGATTGCTTCTGATAAGGAGCTTTGGTATGAATGCTGTGCCTCCAGCAAGTTGAGAGACTCACCTTGGAGGTGAACAGCTTCAAGGTCCCAGGGAACGTATGGCTCTTTCAGCTTGTCATGAAAAGGGGAACTAGATGTTGAAAATCAGAATCAAAACTTTGAATTAGATGTGGAACTGCACTGTGAACCAGTGGAAATGGCCTGTGTGATAAGCTGAGTCTTTTTTTTTTTCTCTCCCCTGCATAATGATGACTTGAAGTTTGTTACAAGAGCTGGAGTCACTGCTTTGTTCCCCGCATTTTGACCACAGGATGGTACAGATCCCTGCTGTGAACCCCCACAGACGCTATGCCGATGGGGAGCCACGCAGGATGTACAAACTTTGGCAAGACCCTTTCCCTCTTTTCCATTGCTTGCATACATGGGACACAAGTATAAGTCTGACCTGTCTCAGATGGTGATCTGACAGATACAGTAATCTCTGTCCTATCTGAATGAGAAGATACTGATAGGTGATGTGGAGTCAAGGTGATGAGCCATCTTGACAACCATCCTCTGAAACAATGTTATCATCCAACCTGACCCTTTCTAAAAAAAATAATTAAAAAAGATGACATTTTAGAAGACACATGTATTATGTTTTTCCTTTTCCTCAGTGCCAGCTACCCATTAGTAGGGAACGCTACAATCTTGTAGTCAGCAAGGAGATGCTTAAGGGACAATTCTCTCCTTTTAAGATCTATGCAAGAAAAGTATTTTCAGCAGCGTTACATAATATAAGTACTAAGAAGATTTGCTATAATCCCATTTCAAAGAGCTTATAGTAAGTAAATGTTTTTCTGTATTGTCCTTAGTGTTGTCTATGAAACTCACATAAAAAGTGTCTGTTCATCAGGTAGAGAACAGGGCCTTTCTGAGAAACTCTTCTTCTGCAGAAGCACATCGAGCAGAGGGCCATTTGCCAAAAGGCCAAGAAGGAGTTGCTATCTTTCAGCGCAGCTGATCAAAGGCAGAGTTCAAATGGATCTTCGTTCCTAGGGCATTTTTCTAAATTATGTGTGCAAATTTTGTTGTGCTACTTAGGAGAGTAACGTTAAGAGCCAAAGCAAACTTCAGACTCTCTTTTGTATTCATGTAAATTGTTACAGAATTATGGTATTTATTCCTTTGGACAGAAAATCTCTTCTGTAGCAAGTTTGATCTCTTGTTCTTTTTCTTTCAAACAAAGGTGGTGTGGGTTTTTTTTACCTTCTTCCCAGGGAAGGATAGCTTTCCACTAACACAGAGAGTTCTGTTTTCTCTATTAAAAACAACTGCCCTCAAGTGGAGTAAGCTTTGTATTTTGTCCCAGGAACAGAGCGTTTCATTCAGAGATAAGGCCTCTCTGCATTTAGGTTCCTTTAGTCACCTGACGGAGCCATTGGTAACTTTTAGGCTGCTTTAGTCTGCATTCCTGAAATGCCTTACTCCTGGCACTGCAATTAACAGCTTCAGGTTCACTGCTTGCCACCCCATTCCCAGCTGTCCACTTGCTGTGCCCTCGGATGCTGCCAGGAGAGCAAAGCAAATGATCAGGCTTTGTTTCCAAGAACACAAGCTTTGCACCTGTAACCATCATTGAAGATGTCGTTGTGGAGTCACGAACAGGTAACAAAAAAAAAAAATCAGTTTGTGTCTGCAGCTTTTTGAACTTTTACTTTTGAATTTGAGGATTGCTGAGTGTGAGTACGATGGGCCCAACCTACTCTCTACTTCTACCGTCCCCTTCAGTTCGGTGACTGGTGATTTATGCCATAGCGACTGTCAGGAGGATCTAGCCTGTTGTTCTCTGGGGTTTGCAATCTTACTAGCTCTTTTCTGCTTCTGTCTTGTTGCAAATAATCAAGCTAAAAGTCCTGTGTAACGATATTGATAAATTTAGGAAGATTAAAAATGACTCCTTACAATCAGGCTTATGGCAAATCAAGTGCAAGGTGCTGTCTGCTATTAAAATAGATGTTGTTTCATTGAGTTATTTCCAGAAGGTTCTCAGTGTTTTGCATTGGTTTTGCCCCTTATTTGACATTTTGCATTTTTTTTTCTGAAAAATAGCATAAAATAGAGTACCAGGGATTAAGGATACTCTGTATCTCAAATAATGATCAGAAGCTATTGAGTTTGTGATCATGTAGTACTTTGCTCATCAACTCAAGAGAAGAACCTGGAGGAGATGGCTGTGAACACCCATGAGCCATCTGGAAGATGCTCTTGGTAGATCTCTTCCTAGCCTCGACATCAGTAAATATTCTGTATTAGATGAGTAAGTGAAGACAGAGGGAAAGTTTTCATTTGTGATGTAATGTTTGCATTTTAATACATGTTCTCAGGGCAAGCTGCGCCTAGGTTAGATACGCATCTGCACAGAGCGTCCTTCAGGTCGCCCTGGGCTCCAGCAGGCAGGAGCTCTCTTGGCACTGCCAGCGCTGTGGTCATGGCTATACACTGCTATAGCACGTTCATCTAATGCAAGCCTGCGTGGAAAACACGGGGATGTCCGAGTTCTTAATTTGTCATGCTTACCCAGGCTCTTCATCACTCTGTCCAAATTAAGAATAGCCTATTTTTCATAAGATTCCCTTTTCCCCTATGTTTTACTTCAGCTAATATATGTCAAATCTCAGATGTTTCTCTTTCCTCTGTATAAAGCTACAGGGAAATTTTCCTCATTGGAAACAGACTCGGTCATTTAAGCGATGTGCACAAAGGCAGACTGATCCAGTTCTAGCAACTGCTTTTCCAGTGCATACCATTTGAAGCTAACCCAAACTCTTGAATTAGCGAGTATCATATTTAGTGTATGGCTACTTTAATGTCATAATTTTGTCAGCTAGATAGTCATGTATCTGTTGTATTCCTGCAAAGATAGCCACTAATGGCTAAGCTGAAACTTTGTTTAGATTGTTGCATACCTAAATGTAAAGGACATACATATATATATATATGTATGTATATTACATGTATGTTCTTTACACTTAGGTATGTTTACTTCAATTCAAAAAGACATTCTGATTCACAAAACAGCAACTAACAACAGCTTACTTGGCGATTTCTCTGAATGATGCTGTGTTTATCTCCACACGCTTCATTGTGGAGAAAATACTGATGATGTGGAAGATGTTGGTGTTGAAGGAGTGAGAATGATCACTTATGTACTAAAAGGTGGCCAACACAGATGCAGTTAAAGCTCAAGGGAGCTTGAAGGGACTGTCGAGCACAGCTTGTTTGGGGTGAGGTCGTTGAGCTGCGCAGCAGCTTCCCAGGGCACGGAGGCATTCCCATTTGTAACCTCTCCTTTCATGTGCGTCTGAGCTTACTCAGGGCCATGGCTCTATGTGTCTTTGTGTCCCCTTGGGCTGACAGAAACTCAGTGTGCTTCTGGCCAGCATGGCTGCTATGAGTGCCGGTGAAGCATCCTCTGTGTGGTTGACCCCTTTCTCAGTAGGATCTTGAACAGTGGGCTCTTCCACTGCCCCGCTTCCCATGAGCCCTGCCTGAAGTGCTGGCAGTCCGTGGAGGGCCCTGCACTTAGCAATACTCTTTGGGGCTTAAAAAAATTGTGGCTTGCTGGGTTTCTTTGTCATCGTGAACAGTGTTGGTGGGAACGGATGGAAGAAGTGCAGTACAATGGAGAGCTGAGGAAGGAGGGACTGCCATTGTCCTGTTCCTACTGGTAGGGCCATCATGGAGACCCTCAAGGACAGACATTTTCTGCCTGCATGGATTTGCACCTGCCTTGGCAAAGTTCAAGGAGCGTGTCCAATCTCCGTGGGATGTTCTGGGTTTGAAGGACTCTGTGCTGTTGGTCCCTTTCTCGTGTGCACTGAGGTTGGCCATGAAGACCCTCGCTTCAAAGATGTATGAGCAGAGGGGACCCATCAGCACTAGGCAAGTCCTGGCAGGCTTGGAATGACAAATAGCATTTCTGAAATGTGGAAAAACCGTACTTCTCCTGTAATTAAGTCAAGTGTTTCCTCTGCAGATGCTTTAAGCACCAGAGTTTTGGGGCACAAGTGCAGGAGTGTCCTCTTTCACAAGTGTGTGCGTGGTGCCGAGCCCTGCCCCGCTTGGCTCGGCTTCTGTTAAATTCCCCGGCCAAGGAGAAGTGCATAGTTTTCAGCTCAGCCAAGTGTTTGTTTTACATGGGTTGAAAAGACTGCAGGGATCATTTTGGCAACAAAACTGACTGTTTTTCTAAACAAAAATCATTATCTTCTCAATCTTGCTAATAGTGTATTTCTGGAGTCAAGACACAACAACCCAGAAAGCAAATGAAGCAGTTTCACCCGCCTCCTCTAGCTCTGCTTTGCTACGGACCACAGAAAGGCAGTTTAATCCTTATCAGTTAGTCCAGTCACCATCCTGCTCGGGTAATATGCATTGAAATGGAAAAAAACTTGGATTTATTTATTAAAAGTTATGTATTGTTTAGTTAATTTTAAGCTATTTAGTGTTTGAGGGCAAAAGGTCCTTCAACATGCAGTTCATGGTACGTGCTTGAGGACATCCCTGGATCAGGGCATCCTGTATGCTGCTTACATACACCATTTAAAAATCTTCGCTAAACTGGAATACGACAGTTAATGTATTTGCTAATTTCCCCCTCCCCCCTTCCCTTTTTTTTTTTCCTTTTAGATTGGGGCCAAGGAAGCCTTGAAATATGCCCCAGATTTGTTCTCCATATTCAATTGATTGCTAGTCCACAGGACTGTTTCCATTCTGTCCTCATCTGAGTTGTTCACGCACATGGTGCATGCAGAGGTCTGGCTGAGCAGCAGCGAACGCAGCCATGCATCATCTGTTTGGGCTGGTTTTGGCACAAAAGGACCTTTCACGTGCAGGGGATCTTTTCTCCTTAGAGGATGCTGAAATTGAAGGAAGCCTCTCGGAAGCTCTTGAACAAATAAGAATAATTAGTTCATCTGCGGTAAGTGAAACGCTGTCCTTAGTCATTTTTCATGAGATTAAATACATTGTGTAAATAAAATATTAAAGACGGAGAAATACACAGTTTAAGTTTCTAAAAAATCCAAGTATGCCAAGCAAAGCATAAGATTTAAAAATGTGGTAACCAAATCCAGTTCCCACTAGCTGAATTTCTTTTAAGGATATTTCAAGTCCATCTTTATCATAATTTTTATTAAATGGTTATTTAAGACTTATTAAAGATTAACAAGAGGTTACAGGTACACTGTATGTGTAGTGTGTATTCTGTTTGCAGCAGAAAGTGTTCTAAATTATGGTAGGCTTATGTATTTTGGTATACTCTTTAAAAGTGCTATCTGAAAAAACCAAGAAGCTCTTGATCCTTCCTGCTTCCAGTCTGCTGAAGGGAAGGGAAAAATTTTTTTTGAGCCTTAGGATATTCAATTAGCAACACAAACATGTTTTCACAACTGCACTTTTCTGGCACTTCATATAGCATGTGACTTCAGAAATCAGTTTTGGCAATGTGCAAACCTCTGACTCTCAGAGCATTGATTACGGCGTTGCTGGTTGCAACAAGAACTGACTCATCCATCAGGGCAGCCACTGTACGCTGGCTCTTCTCTTTGGTCGTTTCTTTCACGGCAGTTACATCTGCACAGTCTTTCAGAACATTAATCAAGTTATTTTGGCCATTGCCTCTGCTGTTTGTGATGTACTTCAACTTATCTAACTGCACCTTATCAGGAATTTCACACAAATCCCACCAAATATACTTTTTGAGAGAAAACGCCTGCATTATCTACAAAATGTTTGTACAAACGCTCCAGTCTGCACGAAGCAGGTAACGCATCCTGCAGAGCGAGAGCTGCAGGGTGTGGTTCCTACCAGAGGGCTCCAGAGATCGAGGAGCCTGGGGTCTCAGCAGTCTGGATTTGACATATTCCCCCCCCCCCCCCCCACACAACAAAGGACAGTTTCCCAGCAGCGCGGACAGGACCAGTCTGCTCTCCGTGTCCACATGCAACCAGCAACCGTGACTCTTGCCCAGGGGTTTGCTCTTGTGCTGTCCCGGCCAGCAGCTGTTAACTTGTTCACCTTTTTATCAATAGGAAAACTTATGCAAAAGAAAAAGTGTGGTGTTTTGTTTTGTTTTTTAAATAAATATGTGGATTTTTCTGCCGTGCTAAGCAAAGCTTGTAGAGGGCTAGCTGTGAATAAAGGCAGAAAACTGCTTTCAGACAGACCCAAACGCAGAGACCCCAGGACTGACTCTGGAGCTGCACTTCTGCCAGCTAGTGCTGAACTTGGCTCCAGCCCTTTAAAAATGTATGTGCTTTATCTAACAAAAATAATGAGTTTTGATTAATATTTCTGTCTGTTTTTCATCTTTGTTACTTTTTAGGGTGGAACAGCGTAGGTTAGACTGAGGGACGATGATTGTGTATTCTGAGTCTTTTAGTTATGGTGAAGCGCTGCCATTGCATATCCATGTGGCATCTGTGTCGCTAATTACGGGGGATTACAGGATTTTGTGATAAAGCCTATTTAATTAACTTTTATTCATGTTACATTGATACTAATTGAAACTAACTATGTTTACATCAGAGACTCAACATGATGTGAAATATTGGGGCCCCTGCATTTGGCTATGTATATTGTGGATATAACAATTCCAGTTTGTTTTAGGACGTTTATGGGAGAAGAGGCCTGTGTGAGGGGTTCTAAGGTGTGCGGCTGCAATCTCTGGCCAAGAAGGCCATGCTTCAAGACAGACTACTAAAAATAATTTATTAAGAATTAAGACCTAAAACAGTGAATTGTCTATGGGATGACTAATTTCTGTGTTTAATCATGCTAAACAGTCATTGTAAAGGTGGAAGTGAGCAAATGGACCCTGGACAGTTACAAAAACTTCATGTTTTCAGGTTAGTTTTACGGCGTCCTTGAAAAGGATGGGCATTCATTTGCAAGTGTCTTTTCATTTGAACCAGGACTACCAGACCAATGACAATGACCAGGCTGTGGTGGAAATCTGCATCACCCGCATCACCACTGCCATCAGGGAGACGGCGTCCATAGAAAAGCACGGGAAAGCCCTCGTGGCTCTCTGGGAGTCATGCCTAGAGCACAACCTCAAACCTTCAGGAAAAGATGAGGACACACCACATGCAAAAATTGCATCCGATATCATGAGCTGTATCTTGCAGGTAAGACTGAGCTGAAAGCAAGGGAGTGTAATGCCTGCGTTGTACTTTGTTTTCTGATGGTGCGTTTGTTTAAAATCAAGAATATGATCCCAAATGTTAATGTATATTATTACACATATATGGCATGCATTGCAGTGAATCAAAAGTTTTGGCAGCTTCCTTATCTTTAGAAGGGTCTTGACCATTTATTGCCAGATTTCATTAATTCTCCATTAACTCTAAGTACTTGCATTTCATGTAAGTATTAAAGTGGGAGACATAGTACTATCATTTTCTGTGGTTACAGAAAGATTAATATAAAGCACTTAATATCAGGGAAGATGTTACTCTTTCAAGTCATTCTGGAAGGCAGCAAAATGCCAAAGAGATTTTAATGACATGAAATTTAGGTCCTTAGAGATGCTGTCAGCAAGGAGGATCTCCCTTAACATTTTGATTGTAAAAACTGAGTCCAGGCACAACACAGAAAACTGACTTCTGAACTAAAATCCAATTGCTGCTACTTTAAATAGAGGACTAGGAAGAAGTTATGCTTTAGCCAGGAGTGTTGGAATAATTTTAGAATGTTTTACTGAATGTTGGAGGCAACAACAGTAAGATTGAAAAGGTATTTAGGTCCCAAAAACAGCTAGAAGAACAGCTGTAATTGGGTCCTATTTGAACAGAGAAGTCCATGAACTATCTCTCCCTGTGAATGCTAGACTAAAAAGAAGATAACTTAGTATATAGTAGCCTTTTGGGGATAGGAACAGGCTATTCCAAGGCTTTCTAAGAAAGTAAACTGAGAGTGAAAAGCTCTTTAAAGGGGAGGGGAAGGGGGGATCTGGTATTACAATCAGGGTGAGTTTAGGGGGTTTTTTGGTTTTGTTTGTGATTTGGGTTTTTTTTTAAGCTGGGACTGCAGGCAGTATTGTTCCTTGTTGGGAAAGGAGTGTAATACACTGGAGAGACCCATAGAGAAACTGATGTGCACAGTTACCGAGCTGGAAGCAGAAATCAAGGTTGTTTCCAGAGTTTTAACTGTGGGTACGGTTCATGGCAACCAGCTCCATGTCAGGTGGAGAAACAGTTGCTGTGAAGTGCCTTTCTCTACAGACTACTCTGGGGTGATGTTTGCAGTACGTCTGCTGTTTCATAGTTGCTTTCTTTACCTATGCCTCTTAAATCGGATGTGGGGTTTTTTTGTTCTTTCATTATAAAAATTCAAACAATAGTGGCATAAGTATGTCACTGTCCCATGAAAGGTACTGCTTAACCCCTTGTAGGATATATTGTTCCATAAACTTATTGAGATTCCTCATCTAGTTTGGCTGAAAGTGTTTAAAGTCCGAAAGAAACAAAAAGTTTCAGAAAAAATGACATCAATGCTGGATTTGCTTCAATGAAATTTTACTTTTACAGTCCTTTAGTACGGTGAGTTCTGTTTGTCCCCAGTCTGTCACTCTGAAGACACACAAAAAAGTGTATCATAGCAAAATATTAAAAGAAGGAAAAACCTCCTTTCTGAAGCCCAGGTTCTTGTTGATTTTTGGTTCGGGGAACATAGAGGTTTATTGTAGCCAGACTTTTGGTCAAGACTGTGGATGAGGATTAGCAAGATTTCTTTGGCACTGCACTGTGGCATCCCTGACCCGTGAACCATAAGCTGCACCCCAGTAACATGTCCTGTGAAGGTCAGTGGAACATCAGGGGGCTGTGTCCCCTCTGCCTTTGGCTGTGAATGACAGGCTTTGGCAGGGACCACAGGTTCTGAGAGGGACCAACGTGTTCCTGGAGGTGTTGGTTATCTCCCTTTCTGTCTCGTGTCGCTGGAGGTGAGACAGTAACTGGATTTGGATACCAGTAGCAGCACAGCTGAAACTTTCCAGATGAGAGACTGTACGTTGTAAAATAATATTTTGTCTTTGCAGTACTTTAGAAATCATATTTCATAAGAACACTGAAGTGTGCAGTGGCTTGTCTAAGCTTTCAGTTTGTGCTGTTGGCAACTGTGTGCCTAAATCAAGCTAGCTCATATCCAAATGTTTTGGGGATTGCACTGTTGCAGATTACTTCAAGAAAGGAGTTCATTGAAGTGAAATGAGAAAGTTATAAAAGTACGTTTATGCTCCCTGAAACAGAGCCGTGATCAGCAAGTTCCTTTGCATAAAAAAAGAAAGAAGGCATAAAATGAGTTTTTATACAATATGTTAGGGATAGTTGAAGTAGTAATGAATATCTGACAGCTGGGTTGAATCTCACAGCACGTTTCTGTTGATATTAGCAGCAGGGAGGTCCCCTAGGTTTGCAAACATCACTATACCATATTATTGAAATCTGTTTTTCATTGTCACCTTCACATTTTCATAAGTGTGCATCCATGCCCTGATATTTATAATGGAACAAATGAAACCTTTCTCCTTCCATCTGAATTCAAACCTTTTCTTAACAAAATATTTTATCTTTATTGTAGGAAAAAGAAAAAAAATTGTTCTTTGGAATTTTCGTAGATCTTTTAAATCCTTGTCAGAGGGCCAGACCTTATCTCCTCGTTCTTTCTGGTGGAGTCCTAGAGTATAACTTGGAGGCAGAATTTGGCTCCTACTCAGCAGTACCTCTCAGCCAAATATAATGAAGCATTATGTTGATTTAAACATGCTGCTGTATAAAGCTCTATTCATTTTAAGGGCTTTTCTCACTAAAGATGCAGGTTTTGGTCATATGGCAGTTGCCATGATGAGCTATCTTGACACCTAGGAGTTGCTGCAGCCCCTTCTTCCTTCCTGGTAGAAAGGGATGTCCCTGAGCAGCTGCAGCACTCCACTGCTTGGCAGGTCTCTGTTGTAAGGAAAAAGCCTCATAGCCACTTAAACCTGGCTCATTTGCATTGCTTGAGTAGCATAATGCAGCCTTAATTAGGGTCAGTCCTACTCTCCGTGAGGCTGATGGCAAAGGCAGTTACTGCTGATGGAGGCAGAGCTGACCTAGCAGGGTATATGCAATAACAGATTTGGTTTTTCTCAGGACTAAATTTATTTTTTCAGCGCTGCTCCAGAATGAGCATATGTTAAGTCTGGACTGCCTTTCTTTGCACCGTTTTGTTGCTTTCTGACACGTCTGGGTTCCAATGACTGCCTGTGATTTCAGATGTTAATTAAATATAATCATATTGCAGGTTTATTTTCAAAAACAATGATGTACTCCAGTTTCAAAGATGTTCAAAACTGAGTGAAGAGGAGAGAAAAACACTGATTAAGGAGGCTCCAGAGAGAATGTAGGTCTTCAGTTACATGTAAACATATCCTGGGTCCTCAGTTACACATAAAACATATGCTACTAGGTTCAAGGGCAGTGATGTATGGGAACTTAATGGGCAATAGGTGTGTATAGTTTGTGCGCACAACTTCATGTATACAGAAAAGGTTTTCTGCAACTATTTGACCTTAATGTCAAAACCTAAGTGTACGTGCAGATACCCCCAAGGTTGCTGAAGCTTGGTGCCATTTTGAGAAAAAGAAGTTAGAGATCCTGAAACATTTCAGTTGACCCTGATGTTCAGAGAAATTGGCTGGAGTTTAAAAAAAAAAAAGAAGTCTTAATTATCACAGGAAAAATGATGATCAATTCTAAAGCTATTACTCTGTGAGCAAGTCTGCCAGTACACTTATTCATGCTTACTCTTTTTCCCCATTTGACCAGTTTGCAGATTTAGTCCCAGTGGCTTAGCATGAGATCCTGTTTTGGGAACAGAGGAGTGTTTTCTTCATGTAGCCCTCTGGCAGCAGCACAAAGATAGGCCAGAACTCAAGAGTAGTAACGCACTTTAGATGAGGGAAGCTGTGACTTGTGCTGGGGAAGATTTACTCATGATTGAAATTGTTTCCCTGAGCCTTAGCTGTGCCTGCACATCGGGCTGTCCGGCTTGGGGCTGGACATCGCCATCGGGCAGGTCACTGCAACGCAGGAACGGACGGCAGCAGTGCGTCTCTTACTGCGGGGAGCAATATTTACCAGTGAACAACATGAGTGACTGCTTCAAGGTGTTTCCTGCCCTTTGGGATGAAAATTACCTTCTCTGTGAGGATGGTGGATACAGCGTCTGCTCTCTTCTCCGAGAGCACCAAACACAAAATGTCTTGTTAGAAATGTTACAGCAGTTAACATTTAACTAGAGCACTTCATATTGTGTTTTCTCCCTCTTGCAGAAGACAAAAATAGGTGCGTTACTGACATTTCCTGGTGCAATAGTTTTAAATTTCTTTTCTTGCTCTTTCTTTGAAGCCTGCCTTCAGTGGTATTACCAAAACATAACCTTCCTTGGCATGTTTTTTGCTTTTTTTTCCCCTGCTGTTTTGATTTTTTTTGTTTGTTTGTTTTTCTGCTCTGATCAGCATGAGTCTTTATTTTAATAATTTTTTCCAGCTTTTTCAGTGCTTTTTCATGTTTTTACAGAATTATGATCGACCTCCAGTAATGGCCTTAGCTGTTCCAGTGGCAGTGAAATTTCTTCAGAGGGGCAATAAGGAACTGTGCAGAAACATGTCAAGTTATCTATCCTTGGCTGCAATTGCTAAAGTGGATCTGCTGGCTGATCACACAGACACCATTGTCAAAAGTGTCCTTCAAGGTATGAACGCACTGAGATTTTTGGATTTAGCTCTGCAGCATGCCCACCATTAGATTAGTTAGGCTGTTTTAGGCATATATGCAAACAAACATGTTCTATGTAAAAACATGTATGAAGCATGTATGTACAAAGACATATGGACATATCTAAAAACATGTGATAAAACATGTTAGACACAATTTAATAACAGATTATGTCAAGGAACACCTTTCAAGAATATCTGAATTTACTGAACCTTGTTGCCTATGGAAGTTTCATTATAGATTGGGTGACCCATAGGGCAGGAAATACATCTGGCCTTGTTAGTATACCATACTAATGGACTTCAAATTATAAGCCATGATATGAGACACTAGTTATTGGGCTCTTATCCTTTCTATTACTGTCATTGGCAATACTCCAAAATATAAATGGGGATGAACTTAATCCCATTCTGTGGCAAAATAGTCAGATGTAAGATATAAAAGCTTTGTAGTGGTTCTTTAGTTTTGCCTACATTATTAGCTTTACATAGAGTATTGTTGCTAAACTCTGTACATTTTACTTTTGTCGTTTAAATTGCAAAAAATATTTATACTTCTACAAAAGGAAGCCAAATTTAGTTGAAGCAGTAAAGTTCACAGTATTTTTGCAATACAGTGCTACTGCAGTAGTAAAATCACTGTTTGTTTTTTCAAGTACAGGTAATAGCAATAAGTAGCAATAGCTGTCTAATTATTGCAAGAACATTGTTATGAAGATGTTAAGCCCTCAAATTAAATGTGTGCATTTTGTATTTATTAAAATATATAAATGGAGTGTATTATGGAGGGATAGCTAAGCTAGAAAGTAATTTTGTCCTTAAGACATTGTGGTAAGAGTTTGCATAGTTCTGTCTGCTCTGTTTAAGGCCAAATGTGTGATAAACTTGATAAATATGTATGAGCTATGTGATGATACTAATTGAGTAGAGTTCAAGAACACAATATTGCTAACAACTTAGAAAGCCACATGGATAATTCTTTTAAGACTTGTGACTTTAGTGTTTATGTGTTAACGTTGTGCATTACCACTTGTAACTCAGTGCTATTAATAGAAATAGAGTGAAACTGGTGTTATGGTATAGTCATGGCTTTGGGAAAACTGATACGCACCCACAACTGAAGCGTTCATTGTGACCGTGGCTGCTCGGTTTTGTGTATTTATGTTATTCTGCCAGCAGATGTTGCTGTGGACATCAGGTTTGGAAATTCCAGACTGGAAGAGGGCGCTCGGAATAGGCAAAGTGCTTTGTTTTGCAGAGTGGTTTAATTGCATTGTACATAATTTGCATTTCAGGCATAAAAAGGTTGGTTTGCAGCAGTCTAAGAACCATGCTTACAAACTGAGTGGTTGCTGAAGGGAGAAGGGAAGGAAGAGGATAAGCTGCTAAGGATGAATTTACAAAGCAGTGTGGAGACAAAGGGCCTTGTTCTGGTGCTGCACAGACAGGGCTCAGCCTAAATGGCACCAGTGAGACTGACAGTAGACTTTGGCCCGCTGCCTGTGAGTGTTTGAGAACTAACTGGATTTTTTTTGATTACTTGGGGCAACTGTTTGACTGCATAATCAGGTTCTTATCTTATTAGCTAAAAAAGAGCTCTTTAGAAAGAGAGTTTAACTACTCTTGTTCCAGTTAGTGAGAACTCAGCTTCTAAACGTGCAGACGTCTGTACCGTGCCTGCAATGCTGACAGGCCCTGTGCTGACACCTTCCATCAGCATAAGGGATGGGGCAGATTTATTCCCATGTCCAGGGGACAGCAGCAAAACTACCCTGCTGTAGTTGGAGAGTCCCATGGCCTCTCCACCTTTCAGAGGAGCTCAGGCAAGGGATGTGGGTGTTGCATTCAGCAGAGGCTTGTTAGAGAGCAGAACCGGGCTCAGCAAGATGCTGCAGGCATGCATGTCTTGTGCTTGCTCCTTCATGTCTACATTTGCAGTGCAAGAGCAGGGTTGCAGTGGCTTTTTCATATTTGGAGCCCAAACTGCCCCCAAAATACTATTTACTTGGTGTTTTCCAAGTGTGCAAAGTAACTGTTGACAAAGAAAAATATAGTTAAGCCGGGAAGGAAAGAGAGAAGTGTGCTGATGGAGGTGACTTGTGGTGCTGAGCAGGAGGGGACTAGGCTGTGGGAAAGCTTTATCACGGAGGCGATAAAGGCAGAGCAAAGCAGTTGGAAAGAGTTTTCCAACTAAGTCAGTCAGAATGAAAGGACTGGCTTTGCATTTGGTCAGCTGCCAAACCAGAACAGAGATAGGAAAAGGCTGCTTCCAAGACAAAGCATTTCAGGTATGAGGTACAGTAAGAAAAGTAGCCAGGAAGGACTTCGGGTAATCTTTTTGAGGATTTTGCTTTTTCTGCTGTGTTTCATGGACATTTGGTTTCATTTAATGGAGGGCACTGCATGGAAAGAGGATTTTGCCCTTGAACAATGTTGGGACCTCAAGTGTTTTTCGTAACTCTGAAGATCTGTTTTTCTGGCTGACAACAGATGAACAGAGAGATGATCTTTCATTGTTCTGTAGTTAAGGTTATTTGCAGATACTGTTTCGTAAGGGATTTTTGTCGTACTTACTACTAAGCCTTTATAATTTAGAAACATTTTTATTGCAGGGTAACAGGAGAAATTCCAGCAATCAGAGCAGTTATTTTTACCTTAAATAAACAGTGTTGCCAAAACTTTGGAGCAGATCATATAAATTTAGGTATGAAGCACAACCCCCTTGAATGACATAATAAAGTAGAAATTACCTTGTCATCTTTTTCTTAATACTTTTGTATTGTGGAAGGGAGGATCTGGTAGCTGCATCATAGTCGGGAATAAGCACAGCAGCAACATGTCAAGAAATTTTTCAAAGTGCATTCTTAGGACATCTGTAGAGAATGAGAAAGACAGAGAAGCATGTGAATAGAGCAGAAGGGTGGGCTGCTTCCAGTGGAAATAAGAGTTGCTTTGAATAAGATATACTGTCCACGATAACTTGTTCAGAGGCTTCAACAGGTAGTGAATAATCATTCTTGTCATAAATGGTTACATATCCAGCGGATAACTATTCATCATTGTCTACTTCTGCTCTGCTTTCTACACGCAAATCACCACCACTGTCTTGGCTCCCTGCATCTGCTGCTTATGCAGCGTATCCAGCCCTATGTTTTCATTGGATTTTGGATAAGCCTGTGAATGTGAGAGAAGAAAGCCGCTGCCATCGAATATTCATCAATTCTGCCTTGTATAAACCTCCTGTTAGCATCAAACAAGTTGGTTACATTGGTTATCTAAACATATCTTAAAACTGAGTATGTCCTCCTCGAATGGCCAGCATTGTGCTTGGGGTAGTAATTGATTTTTATTTGGGGTTATCTCAAAACCAACCCTTCCTCCAACCTCCAAGCACCATGCTAGCAGAGCCTCAGGTCAACACACATGTGTCAGTATGTCAAAACAGATCTTCTGTACAAGTGACCGTGTCCACCTGGGAGAACTCCTAGAGTGGCAGATCCTTGCACATGGCAGCGTTCACAAGAGGGATTGTTATCATGACAGGCCTTTAAAGCTGTCTCTGACTAACGCTTGGATTTTGGTCTTCTGAGCGTCTCTCCATTTGTTTGAGATGTTGCTACTTATGTGCCTTTTTTATTAGCAGCGAAAACCGCGTGGTTCAAAAGACAGAAAAATTCCCAGTTGGTACTGACTTTCAGAGTTTTGGTTCATGAGAAGCATGGAAAGTTTTAGTTTAGTCAAGTATTTTTATTTACAGAACAACTTTACAAAAATAATTTCAATAAAATTATTACAAAATCAATTTACAATATAATACAACTGCATTTTCTCCAAATGTAACATCAGATTATGATGGAGAATATTACTTTTATATGTTAGGTCAATCTGTGGCATAAATAATGCTTTAAACAAGGAGCTAGTCTACAAATTGCTAACAACGATTAATAAACACCACGTTTCTTGGCTTATGTTGTGCCTCTGTACAATTCACATCAGCACTATAAAAACCAATGACTGGAGGAGCCTGGAAGATGCACAGCCTTACGTCTGTTCTGCAGAGACTGGTCAGCCGGATAGGTTTGCTTCAGCAGAGATTCCAGGAGCACCATTCGGCTCTGAAATGTCCACAGCGGCACTTGCTTCTATATGTCAGAAAACACTGCCCTAGAGAGACAGCAGTCATCTGACCTCAGGAACAGCTTTTCCAACGTCATGCCTTGATGTGGGTTTGGATTTTTTTTTCAGTGTTTTGCCAAAACAGCAGGCAGAGATCAAATCCCATCTCCACAGTACCTCATTTTGTAAACCTGCAACACTAATCTTCCTTGGGAATTCGAGCGACGTGGGCTCCTACGGCTCTGTTTACTTGTACGTATTGGTGTTCAGCTGTTCATGAAATACGTTCTCTGCTTCAGAAACTGCCTTGCCAGAATTTAGGAAATGTACTGGGCTCCTCCATATGGCAAAACTTCTGTGACTCCCCACCCGACGATGTTGCCCCTGATACTGCACGCATCTTCTCCGCTCTGGGCTGCTATCTCTTTGGCACTGAGCACTCTGTCCCACATATTAAAGCCAGTTAATTTTCCAGAGAAGGCTAAAGCTTCGTCAAATCCACCGCCAATGCAGCAGCCGTTCTTTTCTTGACCAATCTGCAAAATTCCTCCGTCTGGAATGGTGTGAGCATTGGCAATGTCCGAGGCGGTGGCCGCAAGCTCTCCTTTCACCCACAGGGATGCAGATCCATTCTCTGAGCTCCAGGCACTGCAGAGATGGATCCACTTCCCAGGAACAACTACGTGTTTGACAGCTAACTTGTGCTGGTCACCACCAACAACAAGCACTACAGACTCCCAGCTGAGATAAAGCTGGATTTCATATGGATTTAACTTGGTTCCGTAGGAGAAGACAATAGTTTTGTCCAAAGCCTCAGTCACCTTGATCCAGATGCAAGCAGTAAAGGAGTGAAGGGTCATTCCAGCAGTTGGGTGAACACTCCCAAATATCTTTTTCGAACGCATGGGGAATAGAATTGCTGTTTCACACCCTGGAAAGGTTAGAAAGATTGTTAGGTAAATAAAAACTAGTCTATTTGTACGTGCACAGTTAGGACCCTTGACATATGCTCACTTCTGGGCTTCTCAAAGGGAGCTGAGAGCTCAGCTCATCCAGTGGGATGTAGGAACCCACTGACAGGACACTGCAAAGAAGCCATCAGATCTGATGGATGAATTTGCTGAACACTATGGCAATGGGTCTAGGGGCTAATCTGGCTGCAGGAACAAGGCTTGGCTCTTCCCTCACTGCAAAAGCAGTGTGTTGTGTAGTCCTGTGCCATGCAAAGTGACGTTTATGTTTAATGCTGCCTGTCTGCCCTGGTGCTTGCCTTGGGAAGCTGGGCTTCCCCAAGGGTCTGTGCCGGGCAGGTACCTTCTGCTTTGCCGTGCCTCCTGGGAGAGCTACTCTTTTGCTGGGTTACCTACAGAAATTAGCACTTTACACTGGGTAATTATGTTGGGTAGTCTTCTCTGTTTCATTTAGGTCTTGTTTTGGTCTCTATGTCCTTTTTTTTTTTTTTTTTGGTATGGAGTGATGCAAACAGCAATGATATGGGCAGGGGATGCGTTCTGTGATTTATCGAGCAGCAGGTTGAGATCCCGTGCCGTTCCTGGGACAGCAGCGGAGATCGCAGCTGGAGAAGCAGAGCCGCTGGATAGTTGTGTCCTGAGCAGTTACGCAGTGCCCTGCGGTTATCCCATGGGCAGCGGAGGGGAAGGGGAACTTTGGCAGAAGTGTGTTGAGATGTGTTTGTTTATTCATCGTAACGACTCCCTTTTCTGACCCTGCCTTTAGGGCTGTCGGTCAGTAACTTTCATGCACGCTGGGTAAGCATGGGAAATGT